CCCTGCGGGACCTGCGGGTGGGCGGCCCCGGCCCCGGCCCCGGCCCCGGCCCCGCGCGAGAGGTGTGTGTGGCTGCACCGTGTGCCGGTATGTGCGCGCGCGCACAGAGACGGTGTACATGGGGAGAGGGGCGAGAGATATGTGTATATATATGTATGTATGTATGTATGTATATATAGAGAGAGAGAGAGAGAGAAACTATATATAGACAGAATATAGGTATCTGCGTGTGTGTGTATGTATATATGTGTGTGTGTGTGTATATGTATGTAGTCACTATATTCTCTCTGTATAGAGACTATATAGAGAGAGACTGTATGTATATAAAGAGAGAATATACATAGAGGGAGGAAGGGATATGGGAAATATATATATATAGAGAGAGAGAGAACATATGTATATAGATATATCTATATCTGTATATAGGGAGAGAATATATAGGGGGAGAGAGAGTGTGTATATGAGAGAATATATTTAGAGAGAACGTGTGTGTGTGTGTGTGTTAGTTAAAGAGCGGGAGAGAAAGCTGAGGTTTCCTGACCCCGAGTGAGCGGCGGTGCAGCGGGGGAGTGAGTGACTGGCCTACGGACAAAGGTCACAAAAGCTTCTCCAAGGAGTGGGACGGGCACCTGTGGTCCCTGTTTAAACCGTCCCTGGTGCACGGTACTTTGTGGATGGTTTCCTGTTTCCCCTATTCTCCTTCAAACTTCGTTTGCAAGTCCTGGACTTAGGTTGTTTGCTTTGCTCTGGTTTTGTTTGCTTGTTTTGTCAGTCTGCAGCCCAGGTAGCTGCACTCCTGCTTCCCACCCCTGCCCTGCAACCTGGTTTTGGCTCCTGCCTGGAGAGGTTGCTTCTAGCCATGACAGGACAGCTATGCCTCAGTGTCATTTTGATCTCAGCCTCTTGGCTGCCAGAGCCAAATCATGTTGTCGGTGTCTTTTGTGATGAGGGCACTGGTCTACTAAGAACAGAGGTGAGAGCTCCAGTTGGGGTCACCTAATCTGTAAAAGGGGCAATGAATGATGGTGGCTTCAGCTCAAGCTGTCCACATGGGGTGGAAGAAATCACTCAGGAAATCTGCCAAGTTCCCTCTGGGAGATGACAGGGATATGATTTTTCTGCTATTGGTTTGTTGGGAAAGTCTCTACAAGCCTTTTTGAGGAGAGTAGCCCACAAGGCTGATGCTAGGTGCTCTTTTCTCCATCTCCATCCGCTGTCCAGAGGCTAAGAGGGCTAGACCAGTCATACTCTGGTTATTGGGAGAGTTTGGGAGTAGGTTCTGGAGCGGTGAGTGCATCCTCCCCGTGGATGGCACGTGCCATTGCACTAACAATCATATTCACGCAGTGCTTTTCATCGTGATATCATGAAAAGGGCCTGTATCCCATCCCCATGGAGTAGATGGGGAAACCAGAGGCACAGCCAGGTGAAAGGACTTGTTCAGGTTGGCACAGTGCATCTGTTGCAAAGGCAGCGATGGACTCTGTCTCTTGATTCAGAGCCCAGTTGTGTGCAGAGCTAGGCAGGCTCCAAGACAAGTCTATTTCCTTTAATCCTATTTTTGCTTTATGCGTGATTTTTTAATACAAGTTTTGTAAATGTGAAATGGCTGAATTAAAAAGAAAGCGCCTGTTTGTTGTTTTTTTTTCATTATGCACTAGAATGAAAACTGCTGTCGGTCCTCTCCAGAGTTAGGAGTGGTGCAGAGTTGTGGTTTTGCTGTACAGCACAAGAAAAACCCCCAGTCTTCAATAATTTATGTATGCATGTGAGGAGCTTAGTGGGACTATGCAAGTGGCCAAATCTTTGCAGGGCCTGAGACTTCAGTACTTAACTTGTGCTGGGAAAATGTTGTAGTTAAATACGCATGGATTCATAAAATTCTCCATCCCTGTATTACCTGATAATCCCCATTTCACTCCAGTCCTTTTTCTCGTGGTGCATTTTTAACACACAGTTCAGGTTTTCATGACCATTTTGTGGTCTGGAGTTGTGTACAAAGATTGGTGTTGCAAAATCCAGTGCTAGCCTCTGGATTTCTTTTCCTCAGTCTCTCATAGTACTCTGCAGAAGGACAGAAGGGGGCACTCCCACCACCAGTTGCCCACATGCAGACCTGATATGTTCAATAGATTTTTGCATGGCCGGTTGTTTTAATGGTTGACCAGCTTGCAGACTTGTCCCTGAGCTGTTGGATAGCTGAAAAGCCTTGCATGAAATACAAGAAGATTAGCTAAGCATGAAAGAAAAGGCACTGACGAGTCTTAGCTTGCTGTTTTACATTGGAATGCTTCTTTAGGGTACTTCTGGCATCCTTTGGTTGTGATAGCATCTCTGAGAGAGAGTTGTGAGCACATGACTGAGCCTTGGGGTTCAGAATAGGCCTTGTTATGTTTCTTGCCTTTAATAAATAGAGCAGAGCCTCACTGGGCACTTATTTTACATAAATCATATTTCAGTTTCCAATAACTAACTTTTAATTAAAGTACGGTTGATACCAACATAATAAATGGATGCATACTAGGCTGTCTTTGTGAATAAAATTCACAATTCCCTTCCTATTCCCTTTATGGCCCTTAGATGCTTTTGTTGCCATTTTAACAGCGTATGGTAGCAGCTGTTTATCTTTTTAATATCACTTTTTGCATGCGTGTTCAAGAAACAAGAATTATTTGAGCAAATGACTCCCTGGTCTCTTAACAACTTTTTTTTAAAGTAACTTGAAAAATAGAAGGAGGAAATGAATGTCTAGATAAGTAGGTGGGACAAGGTTGCATAATGCTGAGGTGGCCCCAAAGCTCCTTGAAGATAATGGGAGCCTTTTCACTGATTTCAGTAAACTCAGTTGAGTGTTTGGATGTGACCCTGCAGAGCATGCAAGAATGTGCTTCTGGCCCATTGAAACCAGTGGAAGTCAAGCATGTTTTTAAGTGGTTAGTTGAATGGGAATGGGCTGCATGCACTTGTTTCCAAATCACCTATTAGTTGTATAGTAACTTTTATACTTGTGTAACTCTATAAGGTACCACTGTGCCTTGCCTCCTACTGAAGTCATTAGTAGCTCCTGAATTGCATCCAAACTAAACAACGTCTGAGGAGTTTTACTTCAGTGCACCAGAAAGACTTTTAAAGAGCCTGGAAAACCTGCTTGTGCAAACAGTCACACTGTTGGAGCACAAAAAGGACAAAAAACGGGAGTTTGTACACATCACTAGGTTAGCAAGAGTTAGAATGAAGGCTTAAGAGTATGATTTTTGGATTGGGGTTAATTTGACAGGTATCTTTTACTGAAAGGACTACTTCTGAGTAAAAGATCTAGTTTATTTTGGGTTTGCTTCTGACAGTGTATTTTAATGCGTTCATCACTGTTGTACATCTAACAGCCCAAACGTTTATTGTGATTTACCATCTGGTATGTGGGAGTTCTATGTGATTCCTAATTTTAGTCGACAGCAACCAGTTTAGGAGGATTTTGTTCTAAATTGTTGAGGAATTTTTAAAAGTTGACGGTGAAAGTGGGTTTCCTTTGTATTCAATCAGTGCAGGACTTTGTCTCTGTAATTGGAAATCTTCCTTGCTTCTCAGATTTTCTATCTTAAATAGCTTCACCTCTTCCTGGCAACATTTATAGAAAGGACTCATTCAGTTGGATGAAGACGGGATGTTTATTATTATTATTTACTAGAGTATAGACATTGTATTGCTGTTATTTCTCGTGGCATCAACATAATATAGCTAACTAGCTGTAAGCTAGTATTTTAAACAAATGGTTTTATGACCGCACAATTGAAGAGCTACAGGATAATTGGTGGGTTGTATGAGTGGTAGCTGCTATTTCACTTCTGAAAGTTGTGTAACATAGTGTGACACATTGAATTCTCACAGGTTCCTAGTAATAACTTGTTTGAGGACCAGGACAATCCACTAGGAAATAGTCATTGACAAATGATTGTTTTTTTCCTTTCAAGTTTCTTCTCCTCTAGTGGTTGTTCTCTTCCAGTGGAGGAAAAAAAATCTTTATTTTTTTTTTACCTTATTTTTAATTTGCCAAGCAAGAAAATGTGTTCTTTATTTTAATTACATTTCAGTAACCAGTTTTCCTGTCCAGTAGTCATTTTCTCTGAGTTCTGAAAAGCTTTCCTTTTTTTTCCTTTTAATTAATTTTGAAGCTGGCTTGTACAGACAAGGAGTGGCATTATTATTTCTATTTAAAGGAAACTTAAGCTGAATTCTGGGCTTGGAAAAGTTTTGTCAACAAGATCTAAAAGTGTTGGGAGCCTAGACCCTCTTTGCAGTCCATAGAGGGACAAAGGATTGGGGCTGAGAATGGTTTATAGCTGTTGTGATCACTGTCTGCCCAGGGGCAAAGTCCATCCACTGATGAAAGGATTGTGGTGGTGGTGGGCCTCCGAGAACAAGGTGACTAAGCCTGAAAATGCATCTGCAAGGCTCAAACAATGAAAAGGAGGAAGAATCTAATAAACTTAGAGATAATACTGGGAATACCTAAGGAAATCTCTGCAGGAAGATCCTGCTGGCTTTTAGTGTAGGCCCATTTCAGAGACGAGCTTCATTGCTTCTTGCTTTTTTCGTTGCAGTCCCTCCCATCTGTGGCATCTGACAAACAAAGGGCAGCAGTGAGGGGTGCTATGCAATCATTGCTGCTTGCATTTGCTCTTATAGATAGAGCCTCTTCATTCAAGGATCTTGAGGAATTTGAAAACCCTTAACTGATCACTAGATTTCACAACATCCCTTTGGGTTTAGATAGGAACGTATTGCTTCAGCTGCTGGTGACTTGCACCCCTCCTCGGGATAGAGCATGCCAGTCCTTTGATAGTGTGCTGCTATAAAACAGTTAAGGAAGACAAAGAGAAGAAGAATATTTTAGCCAAATAAAACCAAATGGATAAAATATAATTGTCTGACCTGAAATGTGGCCAGAGCTACCTGTACTTTGGACTCTTTTAATGACCACGTGTAGTGAGGGCCTCAGTTTCTACATTTTGTCCCAACTAAGCTGGAGCTCAAGGGTTTCAGATCAGCTCTTTCTGGATTGTTCCACCTCTGATGCAGCAGCCAAAAAT